CACTACCCTATTCTGTAAACAGGCACATATGTTGGCATCATTACACCCACTTGCAGCTGGTTGGACTCTTATATTATATGTCTTCTTTACGCTCTCTGGAGTAAACAGACACATCACCCAGACTATGTTGTTCCTTTTCTAGACATGCCCATCACCAGCAACATTGTACAGTATCTTTTATTTAAAATGCATTTAACAGATTTCTACACCAAATAATCTTTTTAGCTGTATAGCGTGCATTATTAAGGTTGAGGACATATTTCTACAAAATAACTTCCAATATGGAATAAGATTTGATATCTGGGATTTGTCTTGAAAGAAATGTAAATATTTGTTAAATTCAGTCATAGCTGTAAAAATTGTTATGGACATGTTTGAATTTGACACGCAAATGATCATGTTGGCTCACTAAAAGAAAGAAAAATTTTGCATTTTTTTTTTTAGAAATGTTTAATTATTTATATTTATTTAATAAGTTTAGCTTTGTCTGGCAAAATATTGCAATTATTGACTGATCTTCGGTGGAGTAGTGGATAGCGGCTTGGATTGAAGAATCGCAGAGCCGAGTTCGAATTCCGGTGGAATCCTTACGTGCTAATAACCTTGGGAAAGGTATGAATCCTCTTCTTCTCCTCTCCGCTATGGGTAAATAGCAGAACAGACCGGGTTCTATAGCATTGGATGGCAACTGGTCTACCGCAGAAAGAAATGGCAACCTAAAGATACATGATCGCCTAAGCGTGTATCACGCATGGCACATAACTGACTGACTTCTTTGTATTTCAGTGTTTATTCATATCATTCCCAGAAGAAAGTACATGATAACAATTAGCCACAATATTTTGGTAATCAAATATTAGTTAGCTAAAATTTTCAAATGTTAATTAGTCAAAATTTTCGTTAAAATATTTTGCTAATTAAATAGTGACTAGCTAAAATTTTCAAATATTGATTAGTCAAAATTCTCGTTGAAATATTTTGTTTATCAAACATTGACTAGCTAAAATCTTCAAATATTGATTAGTCAAAATCCTCGTTGAAATATTTTGCTAATCAAATAGTGACTAGCTAAAATCTTCAAATATTGATTAGTCAAAATTCTCGTTGAAATATTTTGTTTATCAAATATTGACTAGCTAAAATCTTCAAATATTGATTAGTCAAAATTCTCGTTAAAATATTTTGCCAATCAAATATTGACAAACTAAAATTTTCGTTTATCAGTTATCAATTACTTGATATTTTCAAATATTTATAAAGTAAAAATTATCTTTAAAATTTTTTTGTTAATTAAATATTAATTAAAATTTTCAAATATTGATTTGTTAAAATGTTAGTTAAAACGTTTTCTTAATCAAATACCAATTACTTAAAAATTCATATTCAAATGTTTAAAACAATTATCTGTTATATGAGGTCATTTAACAAAATCTTTTCGTAATCTGAAAAAAAAATTCTTGTCGCCAGTTTTATAAAGTTTCCAGTAATTTAATTGCTATTAGCTAATTTTATATTCTGTTTTGCTTTCAGAGAAAAAAATTGCAAACGACATCAACAGGTTTATTTCCATCGACAATACAACGTCTGAATTGTTTCTCAAGACTTTTCTTAGTCACCAAAGCATGGAAAAATTAGTATTTTGGATAAGATGTACGGCTGAGGACAGGAATGCTACGTTTATTGAGAGAAAAGTTACTTTAAAAGTTGTACCAGTTTCAAACCCGAACCACAAACACCGTGCCTACAGAACTACGTTGCGAACTCATTTCCCGCAAGACAAAGTAAGTATGCCCGCAATTAGTGTATAAAATTACGTCGACCCGTTTTCGAAAAAAATGTTTTATTTCTAAAATCTCTGGAATATTTGACGCGTTCGGTGCAGGAGGGGTGTATTCAACAAAAAATCGAAAATTGCTTTTTTCAGTGTAAATTATTCATTATATCATATCTAAATATTTTACAAAAAATTAGAGCCGATTACACAATATTTCAAGCTCAATTTAGGTTTATAGTTCGTAACCATGCAATGAGATGGGGTAACATAAAACCGTAGATTCGTCTGCGGAATATCATTATTGTTACATAATTATAGTGAAGTTTTTTTGTCAAAAGCATTTTATTTTTGGTCGTATACTAATTTAAAAATTCCTTTTTACAGGCTTTATTTTTGAAATGGAATAAGATCAGAATTTCGCTATTACCCATCAAACGAAGAAGAAAGCGATCTAAAAACAACAATGGAAAAGAGCGGTAACAAAGCGTAAATGAAATAGCTTCAGTTTGTTCAACTTAGAAAACTTAGCATTAAAGCCAAAGAATTCTAAAATGCTGCCAATAACAAAGGAGAAAATGAAAAATACCTAACAACAAATCGAATATAGCATCAAAATTTATATATTTTTTATTTATTTGTTATGTAACTAAATACATACTTGCCAAAAATGTTTCCGTAAAACTTGATATTTCCTGTAATAAATTTTTAATAAATATTATTATTGTTATTAGTTCACTTAAGTGTCAGGTAGTCCTACATTTACAATTCCTTACGGCTAATCATGAAAAGAAAGGTTGATCAAAACTCCCAAAAATCTTTAAGCCGCAAAATTATCAAATGTTGAATACACCCCTCCTCCGCTGAATGTGTCATATGGAGAGTGAAGAAGACACAGCATTTTCTGATATGGTTTGGTTGATATTGTTTAGCGGCATATCAACATCTATGGATTATTTAATGCCGAAATCTAAATATTTTCTATGCAATTTTATGGTTTTAGCTACATATCTTTTGAACACAGTTTTATGCCAGATATTTTGCATATAATTTTATACTTTCAGAGTAAATTTGTTATATATATATATATATATATATATATATATATATATATATATATTTAGTTTGTAGATGATAAAAATGTATTCTATTTTTTTCTATAAAAATGTATTTTATACATTTTTAGAGTTACGCTCCTCCTCCACCAAACGCGTCATTTGATCGTTTTAAGCCCAATATTCACCCCTAGATTAAATAAAGGGTTCAGTTCAAAGTTCCCTGAAGAAGGCTGAAAAAGGCAACGACCTAAACTTTGTGATAATATCAACAAAAATGATAACTTTGTCCGAATATAAATAAGGTCAATAATCATCAGTCCCAATAAATTCAAACTGTAGAATATATAAACGTAGCCTTTAATAAATGATGCTAATAATCAATGAAAAAATATGCAAATATTAATTATTATTATTATGGGAAACATAATTTTACTTTGGAGTAAGTTCGTGCTTTTATCTATTAAATTCATTCCCAATTTTTGCACAGACGAATCAGCTTCCAATAACGCAGTACTTTACTTTTTCCTCATCTGATGACAATTAGTGAAATGGATTTCTAAGTACGCTGACCTACGATTCAGTTACCTCTTCATTACAATCAAAAATGCATTTTCTCGTCCGCCTCTGTTATTCTCGACCACGGAAATGGCGTCAGCACTTGCAGCTTACTGGTTGCTAGCGGAATTCGGAATAGCATGTCAAACGAAAACGTCATTTGTTTGTCGGCTCCCTCAGGCTGTGGCCGCGCGAAAAATGCACACACACACACACACGTATATATATATATATATATATATATATATATATATATATATATATATATATATATATAATATATAAGACATTTTTATGGTTATAAGTTCTTTTATATCTTAAAATAATTGTCGGACTTTGTCAATTTCATAATGTGTGTATATATATATATACATATATATATATATATATATATATATATGTGTGTGTGTGTGTGTGTGCGTGTATGTCTATCTATATTTCTGAGATGATGATTATGTACACTATTTACATTATTCGGACTATTGTCCTCATTTTTGTAGCTATATTTATCACAACGTTTCGGCCGTTGTACGCTCCGGCCTTCTTCAAGTGTTTGGAATGTCGAACTGGGCCCTTTATTTCGCTCATTGAGGTAGTCTGTTCTAGTTCCACGTGCCATGTTTAATGGATGTCAGTTATCAGTTATCTCCTGTTAATTCCCCTCTTCAAGTTCTCCACTGCCTTAACCGGGTATTGAACTCACACTCCTTGAAGACACATGGCACAGTGGATACAGGCGTTGGTTAGATCCAGTGACAGGACCCAAAAAATCTGATATATATATATATATATATATATATATATATATATATATATATATATATATATATATATATATATATATATATATATATATATATTATATATATATATATATATTCGCGCTGACAACTCAGTGGTCTCCCTGAAAGAGGTGCTAAAGGCGGAATTATATATCTGCTATTGTCAAAGTATCTTTCGCATCTATTAACTTTTTATGATTCGTTGTATTTGATTGTTCTCTTTCGATCGGTAGACTTTCCACTCCTCGGTAGGAGACACGATGCAATTTGCTTAAAATGAAAGCAAGATATAAGATAAAGTAAAAAAAAAGGGAAAAACTATCAAGTAAAAAAAAAAATACATCAGAAAAATATCACTAATGAGATTAACTCTTCGCATTCAATGCATGGCTCCTCAGAGGAGAGAACATCAAGTTACAAAGGGAAGAGTCTAAGCTTCACTGTTACTTGCTGTTTTCATTTCAAAGGGAAAAAATGACAAAACCACTATAAGTGGACAACGTATAACTTTTAAATAAGTCATTATTTTGAGAGGTTTTGTCTTGTATTAAACCATATCATTCTTTTCAACATATGCCTTGCTATTCTGACCAACAGGCACATTTTGGTTATTATAATTGTAATTGTACTTAGTAACTTTCCCGGAATTTTAAATCAAAACCTTTATCCATTCCTTAATGATAAATCGTCAAATCAAAGGTTATAACAAATTTCGACTTATAAATCCATTTTTTAATCTATTTTTATTTACTTTTTTAGGTGTCCAAAAGAAAAAGGTCAAGTCCTGTTGTTGAGAAAGTTTTTCGAAATGCATCAAAGTTTACAACGGTAAGATTAATAAACCTTCGTCTTTGAGAGAGAGAGAGAGAGAGAGAGAGAGAGAGAGAGAGAGAGAGAGATATAGAGAGAATGAGTTAGATAGATAGATAGATAGATAGATAGAGAGAGAGAGAGAGAGAGATAACTAGACGAGAGCTAACTGATGTCTGAAATTGATTTATATTTTCCGGCCATATAAGAAATCAGTGTTCAAGACGATGTAAAAAAAGCCTGAATTTAGAATTCGATTCCACGTTCCGCGCCGATAACCGTTACTCTATCCACACATCCCTGCCGTCTGAATACTGTTGATACAACTGTTTTCGTGGAATCTGTGTGTGTATTGATCTGTATATGTGATCATTTGCTCTAATCCCTGAACTCTCAATTAGGCTCCATGTTTTAAACGTATATTGGATCTCCAGGTCATTCCAGGGCTCAAGTGGAACCCATATATATGAGTTTCTCTTGAGCTCTATAGTGATTTTGATACATTGTTATAAATACTGTATGAATACTTCTTGTTCTAGGTCCTATCTGTACCATATCTGGACAGGAGCTACTCAATCATCATTTTCCAGGCTTGATGGAGTTCAAAATCATTTACGAGGTCTTGAAGATGTTTTTTCCACCTTTGCAGTCTCTTTCCAAAGGATGCATATTGCAAGTCTATTGTTATTCTACCGCTATGGCAAATATTCAGATGGGCTCCATTCTTTAATTTAACAAGTTCAAATATTTACAACTCGAACATGTCATACTACTTCGACGGAGGCTCATTTACCCTGTATTATAAATGTAAGAATAAAGTTCCACTCAAATTTTCCTAAAAAATTCTATTTCCTGAAATAAACTCCAGCGTGTGTTCTTCCCTGACCACTACATTCTTGACAAGTATCAGTTGTCTTCTATTCGTCTGATCTTCATTTATCTTTACTTTTCACGCTGCACCACCTCTCTTTCACATTACACACCTCATTCATAATGACCATTTTAACAGTAACATTCACACGACACACCTCATTTATAATAGCAATTTTCACAGTAACATTCACATTACACACCTCATTCATTATAACCATTTTAATAGTAACATTCACGTTACACATCTCATTCATTATAACCATTTTAATAGTAACATTCACGTTACTCATTCATATTATAACCATTTTAATAGTAACATTCATTAACTCATTTTTAATTTTAATAGTAACATTCACGTTACACATCATTCATTATAACCATTTTAATAGTAACATTCACATTACACACCTCATTTATAATAACTTTTATTAACATTATAACCATTTTAATAGTAACATTCACGTTACACATCTCATTCATTATAACCATTTTAATAGTAACATTCACGTTACACATCTCATTCATTATAACCATTTTAATAGTAACATTCACGTTACACATCTCATTCATTATAACCATTTTAATAGTAACATTCACGTTACACATCTCATTCATTATAACCATTTTAATAGTAACATTCACATTACACATCTCATTCATTATAACCATTTTAATAGTAACATTCACGTTACACATCTCATTCATTATAACCATTTTAATAGTAACATTCACATTACACACCTCATTTATAATAACAATTTTCACAGTAACATTCACATTACACACCTCATTCATTATAACCATTTTAATAACTATTTTCATTCATTATAACCATTTTAATAGTAACATTCACGTTACACATTCATTCATTATAACTTTTAATAGTAACATTCATTATAATCTCATTTTATAATATTTTAATAGTAACATTCATCATTTATAATAAACCTAACATTCATTACACACCTCATTCATTATAACCATTTTAATAGTAACATTCACACTACACACCTCATTTATAATAACTATTTTCACAGTAACATTCAGATTACACACTTCATTCATTATAATTATTTTAATAGTAACATTCACATCACCTACCTCATTTAAAATGACCAATAGTGACATTCACGTTACACACCTCATTCATAATAATCATTTTAACAGTAATATTCACATTACACACCTCATTCAAAATAACCATTTTAATATTAACATTCTCATTACACACCTCATTCATAATAACCATTTTAATAGTAACATTCCCACACACACCTCATTCACAATAACTAGTTTAACAGTGATATTCACATTACCAACCTCATTGAAAATAGCCAATAGCTACCTTCAAATTACGAACCTCTTTCATAATAACCGTTTTAATGGTAACATTCATATCACACACTTCATTCATAATTTTTATAGTGACTTTCACATTATACATCTCAATCATAATAACAATTTTAATAGTTGAGTGACTCTCAAGATTTATATTTGTCGAACTTTAGTACAAAAATAAACCAGTAATATTATCGGTTCGTTTAGTCTTGCTTCAATCGAAAACATGTTTAGGATGTGACAATGTTATATATTAAGAAAAGAATATATTAAAGAAGTAAAGAAAAGAAGAAGCATATATTAGTATTATTATTTCTTAATATGTATTAATAAAATAATATATTAATATTAAAGAATATACGAATATAGAATGGACCTGAAATTAAACAACACCTTCAGTGCACTAGTATGCCACCGGAACCGTCATCGTCAAAATGAAAATAATTTACTCAGACGAAAATGTATTGAAAGTGCAATGATCTACGAATCCCCTGCACTTAATATGCGACAGGATTTCTTCAGCTTATCTCCTGTTTTCACTAAATTGCTGTTGAAATTTTATTTAGAAAACGACAAGGTTAAAGAAAAAAAAATCCAGAGTCCATACGCCTAATGTTCTGTCTCGCCAATAATTCACAAATACGCTTTTAAGTAGGCGCCCAAGGGAGTCGTCAGTGATGTTTTTGACTTGGTTCATCAGGGAGTTTCGGGTCTTTCAACATCATACTCCCCATCACCAAATCGACCCAATCAGGGGAGATCAACCTCCGATTCCCCCTTCCAACTAAACGCTAGCAGCCACTCTGGCCTTTTTAAAGAATAAGAGGAAGAAAGACCACTTATTCCGCACATCCGATTGGATGTTTGTAACAACCAATCCGGTGCGCGAAATATCTTTTAAATGGCCCGCGGTGGGGACTGGCTTCTTTTCTTATTTCGGTGGATTGCGGTTTCGATGGATAACCGAGGAGGTAATCTTAATCTTCCTAAATCTTCTCCTTAAGTATTGTATGGTTTAATTCTTTGCCGTTTTTATTTTATTTCTACTTTTTTCTTTTCTTATATAATATATAAACTTGGTTGAAATAAAATCCATTTTGTTAACGATCATAGAAACATGTCAAAATAAGAGTCGCACATATTGGCTTATCTATTTAACAATGTGTTATGGTAATTTACCCACGCACGCATGAACTCTCTCAGCAATAAATAAGAGCAGGTCTTGCCTTTTGGTGAGGGAAGCTTCCAGCAGTCAGCTCTGACAGTCGGGCCGAACATTCTTGCTGTAACACACTCGTTTGTATATGTCTGTATTACTGTTTATATTAATATATTTGTTTACCTCAGTTCCTCTCTTTTGTCTTTATTTCTGACCCTAACAAGACCACAACACAATGTTATGCATATTTCTTAAACCTCAATAGCGAAGCTTACATTAAAGTAATGATTAAGAAGTTAGGCCGGCAAGACCGTAGTATTTTCACTTACTACTCGGTATTTAACATCTGATGCCTTGAGCCAGACTAAGTAAAGCTTAGTAATATGGTGCCAAGATAGAATAAACTTAGCACCCAGATTCATGTTAGAAGAAAACGTCAACACGAGATGACCGCTGATTCATTCGATGTCAGAGGTGACCTTGAGAGGCGAACACTTGTGAAAACGGCTGCGCCTGGTATGTACGCGCGTGAGAAAACAGTTGGGTAGTTGGATATATAAACAACCACCCCATAGATGTGTTGGGTAGTCTCCCAGACATCGCAGTCGGAGAATGTAAGGTCCATGTTCCTGATCAGGTTCTGGGTTCCGCACTCACATTGGCCGAGAGTAATTGACGGAGCCAGTATAATAAAATATCATATTAAGTAATGAAGATTCAAGTCTCCTGTTATCTTTTTGCCGGTGCCCCCATTTTATTACAGCAAACAGGTATTATTAATGCAGAGTTGAGTTCTCACTGGGTGTCCCACACGTATATCTTTGTAGTAGATAAAGATAATCTAAGTAAATATTCAGAATGAACAGAAAGTGGAAAGAGAGAAAAAAGAGAAGGAAATGAATAAAAAACAAAGAAAAAAATCCATAATCAAAATAAAGAAAAGTGTAGTCAAATTAAACTTTCATTTGAAAATTGTAAAAAAAAAGAAGCCAATAAAAACAGAATCTTGAAATTAAAAAAAAAATGCAATAAAAATAAAATAAATACAAAAAAAAAATAAATCAAAGGACAATGAGAAAATTGTGAGTGACTTGAGAGATTCTCCCCTTCTTAACGATGCAACGCACGACATTGATTTGAAAAGCAAACATTAATACAAAATCATCCGGTCATTATGAAGGATTTTTAATTATAACAATGTCCTTCATCAAACTTGTTCCCGATTCGGAGGACTCTCTTGATGAAGAATTGCCGGCGTATGCGCAATCAATATTTCGGAAAGTGTTGGTCCGAGTTATACAACTGGCGGCGAACAACGGTCGACTGGGCAGGGCACAGGCTGGGAGTTAGTAGTATTTCTGAATAAAACAGCATGAACGGTTGCAGCATTGAAATCAATTATATGTAAAGATTGGCTACTAGTTCTGTTGACATTTTCTTCGATCTGCCTAGGACTGGTACAGATTGGGAGATAAAATAGGAAGTCTTGTTCTGTTCGTAGACTGGAGAAAGAACAGTGGAAAGTTGAATTCAGAATGAAAAGGAACAACGAAAATGTGGAGGCGGGAAAGAAAAGGAATTTTAATGAAGAAAATAAAGATGACGGATGGAAAGAAACTCAGAAAAGCTGGTAAAAATGTCAGGGCCGTTTTGGGTTATAGAAAGGTGGGCCAGTTGGAAAGAACTTCATGAAAAAGGGTAAAACAAGTGGAGAAGATTTTAATAAGATTTGTAGTAGAAGACACGGTAAAGTAATGGATATTGGTTTGGATTGAGAAATCGGAGAGTCGAGTACGAATTCCAGTCAAATCCGTTACTTTCCCTTACGTACTAATACTCTTGGGAAAGAGTATTCTTCTTCTCAGCTATGCGGGAAAAATTCTGCCTCCTCAGTCATGTATCGAAAGATATATGATCGCCTAAGCGTGTATCACGCATGATACATAACTGACTGACTGAATCTTTTCCAAAAATGAGCGATGCACTTTTGAAAAAAAATTACACAAAGAAAATAACATTATACACAAATAAAACATGTTTGACTCTTGTGTAATTGTTACTGTCTCTGCCCCAGTCAACCCCAAATTGTAGGTCCTTTACGAGACCGACGGCCAGGTTAGTTTTATCCAGGCCAAGTTAGTTTATGGTTCTACTGAAGAATGTTAAAATATCTTTTATTTTTTAAAAGTATTTTTCAACCAATACAACGCCCAAGATCACTCAAGGTAGAGGATTACTGAATGATATTGTTGTAAGGCCGAAAATAAAGGAGAAATAAGTGCATATTATGAGGGTATGTAAGGTAGATATCGGTTGGCACTAGATTTAACCCATTATCTGCCATTTGGGGATCTGTTAGAATTAAACTCACTACATGTTATTCCTTGTATTTACATTGAATTGCTTACATACATTGCATTTGGAGAGGTATATTTTACAACACCTAGCCTTTAGAGTTTTTATCAGGTCATCCCATAAGTTCTGTCCGAATTTTAACTTTTGTTAAAATGAACGAAATTTAAAGAGTATTTTATAATGTCTAATGGAGCTGAACATTATTTTTATGTTTAGATGCATTTAAACTGATCAAATTTTATTTCAGAGAACAATAAAATTAAATTTTGTTTGATTAAAACCCTGCTAACATGGAAGTACCCAAGAATCATTTGAGGCACATAATGCTTTATGAGTTCAAGAAAAGAAACTCAGCAGCCGAAGCGTCTAGAAACATTCACTCAGTTTATGGAGAGGAATGTGTGAATGAAAGAACTTGCAAAATTCAAAGGTGGAGATTTCACCCTTGAAGATGAAGATGGAACCGGACGTCCAGTTGAGTTTGATGAAAAGCTTCTTGAAGCAGCCCTTGAAGAAAATCCTGCTTTATCAGTTGAGGAATTGGTAGTTGTTCTCAGCTCAAACCATACAACTGTTCATCGTCATCTTCAACAACTTAGAAAAGTTCCTAAACTTGGAAAATGGGAGCCTCATGAATTGTCTGAAAGTAACCTCAAATCCCGAGTTGACATCTGCTCTTCTCTCCATTCTCGCCAAATTGTTTCACCTTTCTTGGATAGACTTGTGACTGGTGACGAAAAATGGATCTTTTTATCGAAATGTTAAACGTCGTAGACAGTGGCTAGTAAAGGGAAGGACCCCAGCCACAGCCGAGAAGGGAATTTCATGGGCAAAAGGTTCTTTCAATTTGGTGGGATCGACAAGGAATAATCCACTTTGAATTCTTACCATCTAATGCAACAATTAATGCTCAAATATACTGTCAGCAATTAGAGCGTTTGAACCAAGCTTTGAGGAAAAAAAGACCTGCTCTAGTGAATCGAAAAGGGGTGATATTTTTTCAGGACAATGCGCGACCCCACACAGCAAGAATCACGTCACAAAAGATCGAAGAATTTGGTTGGGAGAAAATTCCTCATCCACCTTATTCCCTCGATCTTGCTTCTTCAGACTACCATTTGTTTTGTAGCTTACAGAATCATTTGGAAGAAACAGCTTTTGTAACACAGGAAGAGGTTAAAACTAACATTTGTGAGTTCTTCGAATCTTTGAAAGCCAGAAGTATTTTACAGTAATAGAATTAGTAATCTTGTTAATAGATGGAAGGAAGTCATAGATAATCAGGGAAAATACATTGTTGATTGAATCTGTAATTAAATGTAACATTTGGTCACTTGTTTTCTTTATTCAAAATTCGGACACAACTCATGGAATGACCTGATATTATTAGCCGTAAAAAAACACTTTCTGTCATAATTTTACTTTTCACGAGTAGAAAAATAATGACTATTTTGAAAAGTATTTTTTATTATTTCTAATCAATATTATTTTTTGATGTTTTATACACATATTTATTTGATGTTCTAGTTTCTATAAAAATGAAAATGGTAACTACTGAAATGAAACATAAGAAATAAATAAACTCCTAACACACCTGTCTGGGCCAAAAAATGCACATTAAAAAAAAATTGGGAGTTAATGGGTTAAAAATGTTATGATTGGAATGGTTCGGAAAGCATTCTCTCGAAAGTCTATTCAAAAAAGTGACAGTTCTGAGGAAGAATTGAATGATTTGTTTTTTACGGTTTATCAACAGTCCGTGGGTTATTTAAAGGCGAAACGTATATTAGATTTTAAGACTTATTTTGTTCTTTTCGAATAGTGCATTAATCTTTTTCTTTTACATTAAATATTGCATTAAAATTTTTCGAGACTACAGTAATTTTTCCGTATGCAAGTACTATTGTTAACCTATAGTTGGAGGAGAAGATGGATGCATATCTTCCCCAAGGTTATTTTTGCTTAAGTAAATGTAATGACTTCGACTGGAATTCGAAAACAGCTCTCCAATGTCTCATTCCGTGCTGCTATTACATCGTATAGCGAAGAATGTCTGAGTGAAAATAGTAAAAGAATCCGAATAGGTTTGAGAATGATCTGACACTGTATCCGTGACATGTCAGTTCTAGCTCTGTGATGATGATTCAATAATGCTGGTGCTGCAATGGTGGACGAGAAATTCCAGTCGAGTTCATTCCTTTCACTTTCGTACAAATACCCTTCAGAAATGTATGAATCCAACGTTTCTCCCCATCCTCAGTAATGGTCTTTTTATCCTTGGTTGGCAACCATTCTAGGAGAAAACGGAGAACTCTTTATTCAGAACCGATTGAGTGTGGGGGCTAGTAAGTCAGTCCCGTGAAAAGAAAAAAAACTACTAGTTATGAGAACCGCCACAGCAAAACGCTTATTCATCGAAGAGAGAGAGATAGATAGAGAGAGAGAGAGAGAGAGAGAGAGAGAGAGAGAGAAAGAATAAGGTTCGGAGAGTTTAACACTCACAAGACAAATCGAAATGAGAATTAGCGGAAATGGAGAGAGGAACAGTGATGTTTACGGTATTGCTGATAACAATAAAAGACAGGAAGCTGTGGCCGACAATATCTGCCCATGCCCTGAAAAGGCATACCATTGTGTGTGTATCTGTGAGCGACGGAGACAGACAGAGAGAGAGACAGAGAGAGAGAGAGAGAGAGAGAGAGATATCAGTTGATTTACTATACAGTAAAAATGGTTAACCGGACTAGACACGCTAACGCTTATCTCACGCCGAAGGGTCTCAGAAGAGAGAAAGAGAGAGCGGAAGTGTGTGTGTGTGTGTGTGTGTGTGTGTGTGTGTGTGTGTGTGTGAGAGAGAGAGAGTTATTTTAGTTGATTTTACGACGTCGATTCCTTGTTGGGTTCTTTAATATCAAATTTTGTATGGGGCATCCCCAATGAGGATCAAACTTATCATTCAGTAGAAATGGTCAACCAGATTAGACTCGCTGACCATCATTTCAGGCCGAAACGTCTCCAAAGAGAGACAGAAGGAGCGAACAAGAAGGAAGCGTTAGGTTAGGTTGGTTAGTTTTTATAACTTTACGACTATTGGGTTATTCAATATCAAATTTTGTATGGGGCACCCAATGAGGATCGAACTCACAACTTACTCATAATGTTCATTCAGACTAACCTCATTAACCATTATCCTACGCCGACACGTTTATGTATGTGTGTGTGTGTGTGTGTGAGAGAGAGAGAGAGACTTGATAAATATAAAAGTGATAAAACTATGGAAAAGAGATAAATAAATAAAGAAATCGAAATATAGACTTGGTAAAAAAATAAAAATAAACATAATATAAATTAAAGGTAAAAAAAAAACAGAATAAAAAAAAAGAGTGAAAAAAAAACAAAAAACAATTGGTCCCGAAAGTGTTCAGAAAGAAATAGAATACCAAATTGTTGTTCTTCTTCCATGAACCGTGTCCATTCAGGGTGTGGGCGATAATGGCTCTCCACAACTTCCTATCCTTTGTAGCTCTTAGTAATTTTTTTTTACCATCCCTACCAAGCATAATTCCTCCATCCATGCACACAATCTCGTCGGGTAGGCAGCATACTGCCCCCCGCCCTGTTTCGTTTGCATTCGATATGTCATGTGAGTGTGAAATTCTCCAAGCCCTTCTTCCTCGAAATGTGTCCAAGAAATTTCAGTTCTCTTACTGACTCTGAGTATAAGTATCCTTTTGGCTCCCTTAAAACTTTCTCGTTGCTTACTCTCTCTGTTCATGGTATTCTCAGCATCCCACTGTAGAACCACATATCTGATGCCTCAAGTGAGGAAATTTTCCAACATTCACTGCCTTATGGGAAGATTGATATTACATAACAGTTCAGCATACTTTCCGTTGTTTGTACTGGAAAATTCCTCCGTCTTAATACTTTTTGCTATTTGAATTCAGATTTCTGTCACATTTCCCGTTCTGTGTTAAAACATTTCCTAGATATTTAAACTTGTTTGATGTTAACTCCAATTCCTCATGGGCATTTTCTTTTGCTGACAGCCATACATGCTGTCTTCTTACAATTGATGGTTAGTCCTTTCTTCTCGCTTTCCTTTGCTACATTGTTTAGGAGGCCCTGTAGTTTTTTTTCTATGCCAGCCATCAACACCTTCAAAACAACACCTTGCCCATCACCATACTCTACCTCCACAGAAGCAGGCCACCATTCACCTCGTCGTCATCTGCGTAGCTTATATTGTTAAGATTGCATTCATCGATAATAAATCCAGACAGTGCCTCCAGATCCATTAGGATCTACCTGTACAGCGAGGCTATCCTAAGTGCACAAAATAAATAGGTAACAACAAAGTATAGGAGAAAGTAGTTTGATATGAGTCTTATCGAATATAAACGAAAACATTTAGCAGTCCCCTTCTTGTTGTTCATCAGGTTTTACCATCACATTTTGGCAGAGTGATTCTTCTACCTTCCTCATGTGTTCACTTTGCATTGAAATAAGAAAAAAATACTTTGAATGTATATAGGTGTATGTAAACGTTGCCTGTTCTTTTTGTTTTAGAACTACAGAATAAATGCACATTTAAAACACAGCTAATATTTGCTAATCCTCTCAAGGGGGTGCGATGAAGAAGAAAACATTTTTAAATTGAACATCCACATAAATTTATGAATGGGTAAACGCTAGACTTATATAATTCCATTGAAATATAGTCGCAGTCATTCACATAACAGTTTTTAATAAAATGGAGAAATGCTGACTTAGGATACGTATCGCCATGGAGAAAGCCTTATTGTAATATGCCCGGATGGAAAGAAGATGAAACAAGGCCAGTATCAATCCTCTGAGGCCGGAGATCACCAACTAACAAGTAGACAATTCCAGCTTATTTCTCTAGAGAATAGTGTAAGAGAGAAAAGGTCGTTTACATCCCAGCCGGATTAGTACATTTCGATAGTACAAGATCCATATACGCAAACATACCACCTTCCATATACCCAGGCGATTTCAATCTATACACGATGGAGTTTCCTAATACCGTCTATGCGAAGCAAAGATAAAACACACTGTGCTGAAATCTATACCCGACCGACTTATGCACGGAGCCAATCAGATATAAACAGTCTCATTCAATTTTCACACCCTTCAATAGTGTTCCCTGTCAATTATCTAAAGCTCATCACAGAGAGGTTACTATGTATCTTTCCCTAGATACTGTCAATCACACTAGATTTTTTTGCCTCCTTTTAACTTTGTCTTTCTAATCCATGACGTTTATGGAATCAGAATTGATTGGCCCTTACCCACGTAGATTATAAGAGGGGTTACTGAAAGCACTCGGTCCGACCAACTTCCTCAAATATTACTAAATGGAAAAACATGATAATTCTTTCAAGAAAAGATTCTTGGCCCAATCGATAAATTTGCCATCGTATACTTGTCTGCATTTGCATAGGTAAAACATTGTTATGGGATCAGAAATGGCCATATCACTGGGGCGTAGGATACGCCGACTGCATCTTCTGCACAAGAAGTTAGACAACCCGATCTAAAATGAGGTCACCTTCCAGGAAGTGTAAACCGGATCTATGTCTACGTTATTATACTAGTGTAAACCAAACCTATGTCTACTTTGTTGATTTAAGTGTCAACTGGACCCATATCCATTTTTTTAAAGTCTACTGTAAACCGGGCCTATATTTAGCGTTTTGACTCGAGTTTAAAACGAACAGCTTACGACCAACATCACGTTGAAACACTGGTTACTGTAGGATTACCGAAGTTAAGCAATGTTGAACCTGGCCACTACCTAATTGAGTGAAAGCTTGAAAATACCATCTACTGTAAATTTGGATGTACTGAGGGTGTAATGTATAATGGCTCAGAATTATTAATCGGAGAGACGAATTCCAGTTCATGTTGGGTTCGTTATATTCACTTACGAGCAAATATCGTTGAAAAGGGTATGAACCCACCTCTTCTCTCCCCAGCTATAGGTTAATTAGTAAATCGTGTATCACAAAGAATTATCCCCAAAAGCAAATTTTTTGCAATATAAATAAATAGTTTTCGCTTTAAATAACTTACAAACGGTTGATAAGCCGTAGGAAATAAATAACTGAATCCATCAATATAAAACGAATATGATTCTATTTTTTTTATTTTAGTGAAGACTGTACCTATGTCTAACTGTTTATTAATTCGTTGTAATTATTGTTTTATAAGACTCATTTTCTGCCTGCCACAAGCATGCCTGGCGCTAGACTCCTGGAGAGCAACAAACTGCGCCTTCTTGGCCTCACGTTTTCAACTGACTTGAAGTGGAACATCTACATCGAATCAATAGCTGCATCTAGTGAAAGGAAAGTTAGTTCACTGTGTCGTGCCAGACAATTTTTCTCGTCAGAATCCATCTTGCACATTTAAAAATCTACAGTTCGAACGTGAATTGAATAGTGCAACCATATCTGGTCTGACGCTCCTGCTATTCATCTTGAAGTTCTTGAAAAAATCTAAAAAAGGATCTGCAATATAATCGACCCTGACCTGGCATCTCGACTTCGGTCACTTTCTCACCGACATGACAGGGCTTCTTTATGTCTTTTCTACAAATATCTCAATGACGAACTTTTTCCCCCCTGGTGCCCGGACTACATGAATTTAAGTCTACTACTAGATTGACATCTAGGTCTCACCCTTTTTCCTGTTGAAATAGTTAAATGCAACTGCTACTTCTATTTCAACAGTTTCTTTTCTTTCACTTCCCGCCTTTCGTACTCCTTTTTTCATCTTTTTGTCGTTTTTTGGTCTTTTCCTTTCTTTCACCCCGAACCTTTTTGCACTATTGTCAATCTTACAAAATTTAAATGCAACAACAACCTTTTTGTTTTCTCCCTTCTTGAGTCCAACTTTTTTTTATAGCATCTTTTTGTCGTTTTCTCAATACTCACTATGGTCAGTTTTCCTTTCAAAATAAATTCAAATTTCACTTTTTTTCTTTAAATTAAATTATATATATATATATATTTTTTTTTTTAAATTAAATTATATATATATATATATATATATATATATATATACCGAGGTAAAAAGCTTTTGCATGCTATTAATGATATCTTTTTGTTCTCTGATTCTCTTGATTTTACTAAAAGGAAGAATTGATTGAAATCGATCATAAGCGAAAATGACATGATGTTTTTTTTGTCTCCAAGATCATTTTTCAGCTTATCAGAAATCTTTTGCTCTTTCAATGCCTTTTCCATTTTTTGATTTCAATAAATTTCATTTTCAAGTTCATTTTCATTCATTATTCACCTATTAAAATTTTTTCTCTTAGGTATTAAACATTTTTGTGTGTAACCTGGAAATAAACACAACATTTTTTATAGCCATATATATATATATATATATATATATATATATATGTCACATAAGAACAATTGTCATCCGACTTTAGAAAAATTTAATTTAAAAGAAAAAAAAAAGACTATTTTAATGCTCCATTATTTATAATTTATTTATATATATATATATATATATCACCAGAGATTTTATTTTTCTCTGACTTATTGAGCTTTACGAAGAAAACAATAAATAAATTTAAAACTTTTTTGAATAATTTATATTTTAAACTTAATGCAGCGAAAAAATGAATTTTTAAATTGGTTATAATGATTCTTTTTGTAAAATTAATTTTAAATTCATTTTTACAATTATCATATCGCTCAGGTGTCCAATATATTATATATATATATATATATATATATATATATATATATATATAAGATTTTTATATTATTATTTTGAAAATAACTATTTGCCGTTTGAGCTCTTTTAAAATAGTGTTTTTGGTTATTCCGTTTTCCACGCGCAGCTCAAATGTGGCCAAGGCCGAAAGTATGGGGATCGAACTAACTTAGTCGTAATTGTTCATCTTACATCAGTCGAGGTATCCAATATATATATATATATATATATATATATATATATATATATATATAATATTTTTTGTTTTAAGCTTGAGTTTTCCGTTTCTCCTAAAATTCTCTTTCATCCTCAGTAACCCCTTGCATCTTAGTAGTATTATCGCCTTCTTGATATATATATATATATATATATATATATATATATATATATATGAAATACTCGACCGCCGATGTGTGTACGCTAACATATGCGTTCACCTACTCTGATACGTGTACACATATACGAACTGATATACTTATGTATACATCCCTCGTAAATGTCTGAATACATTAGTGATTGCAAAGGGTTTTTTATCATCGTATCGACTTTAATAAAAGGTTAATTGGATATTCTCTTCCCTCGTCATTTAATGGGACTTTTCAGTTCTTTCATTTCAATAAAGACTCAATTTCCTTCCATTTAGGCACACATGCACACGCAAACCCAAACACATACATAGCAATCAAGTGAAATCCTAGCGAGGATATGATGTGCACACTGAATAGTAAATACTTGCACTATTTCCTGCCCAACCGCATTCTATATGTTGAGTCATGCTGTAAAAACGAAAAGATCTCGAATTACATGTTTTTAAAAATTCATTAAGCAGATAAATATTTAAATTTTTTTAAATTTTAGTATATTTTGTTTTTACAAATGTTTAAATTTTACTTAATGTTTAAATTTTTACAAAATGTTTTACTTAATATTTAAATTTATTTTAAATCGTACCTATTTAATGGATCAAAAACAAAACATGTCTAAGCGTTAATATAGAATGAACATTGAAAAAAAAAACTATAGGAAATGTGGATCTTTAATTTATGGTAAAAAATATATCTGGATATGTGCAAAATTCTTTAAAACTTGTAGGTCGCGCGCACACACACACACACAAATATATATATATATATATATATATATATGGACGCAATACTATCTTCTAAATTTGCCATTTCACACACTTGTAATTTTCTCTTTGTAAATTATCTTCTTCTGTGAGCACAGACCAAAATTTCGAAAGTTGATTTCCAAGGTAGACATGTTTATCCTGCATGGAGGACTTAGATATTACTCCATCATAAACTAAATCAATTCGCGTTTTTGTGTCGTATTGGTTAAATTTAGGGTATTTTACTGCCATGAGCAAAATCTTTTATCTTACTTTTTGCCTTTTTGTGTCGTATTGCTAAACCATTATCTTATTTTCCTTCCTATGATAAAACCTTTGGCATCTTCCCCTCATAACCTAAAGGTTTTGGTCTTTTTGTGTCGTAAGCTCAACTTTTATTACTTTTCTGTCATAAGCTAAATTTTTTGGCTTTCTTATGTCATTCGCTAATCATGTTGACTTTTTTGAATCGTAAGCTAAGCTTTCGTGCCATTTTGCGTTGTAAGCTAATGTTTTGAGCCTTTTTTGTGAAATAAATTCAACAGTTTCTCTTTTTTCCGTCAAAAGCTAAATATTTTACCTTTTTCCGTCACAAGTTAAATATGAGCTCAGTGTTTTTTCCATAAATACTTTCATGCTAATTGTTCGAGTGAGCTCCTCGTTATGGTACCTAGCCTTGTTGAATTTAAGCGCAATGCTAGACTGGCGTCGAGATCTCATTATTTTACAGTTGAGCTGGCTAGAAGTAACCGTAAATTCTATGATAACAGTTTCTTTTCTCGCACTTCTCGCTTGTGGAACTCCCTTTCGGCTCTATGATCTAATCTGCAAAAATTTAACTGGAATGTCAATCGCTATCTGCTGTCTGATTACGGTTTCATCTTCCCGCTTATTATTAATGTTTCTCTTCCTAATTCTTCCACACCCAATAGCCCATTGTGTCTTAGTGGCTTATTGACTTGCATGGGATGATACCGATTGAAAAAGAAGAAGCTAAACTTTTTGGCCTTTTCCCATCACAAGCAAAACATTTTCGCCTTTTTCTGTCATAATTTAAGCATTTTGGTTTTTTTCCATCACAATCTAAATATTTTGTCCTTTTCCCGTCACAAGCAAAACATTTTCGCCCTTTTCAGTCATAATTTAAGCATTTTGGCCTTTTTCCATCACAATCTAAATATTTGAGCCTTTTCGCGTCACAAGCAAAAATTTTTCGCCTTTTTCTGTCATAATTTAAGCGTTTTGGCGTTTTTCGGTCAAAATCTAAATATTTTGTCCTTTTCTCGTCACAAGCAAAATATTTTCGCCCTTTTTTTGTCATAAGTTAACCCATTTTTTTTTCTATTATTCTCTAAATATTTTGTACTTTTCCAGCCAAAAGCAAAACATTTTCACCCATTTCTGTCATAATTTAAGCGTTTTGGCCTTTTTCCGTCAGACGCAAAATATTTTGGCTTTTTCCCGTCGCAAGCAAAACATTTTCGACCTTTTCTGTCATAAACGTTTTGACGTTTTCCGTCACAATCTAATTATTTTGTCCTTTTCCCGTCACAAGCAAAACATTTTCGACCTTTTCTGTCATAAACTAAACGTTTTGGCTTTTTCTGTCATAAACTAATCTAATGGTAATTTTCCATCATAATTTTTTTCTTTTTGTGTAATAGTGTAAAATTTTCATCATTTTTACGTAAGCCGAAATCTTCGACTTTTTACATTATAAGCTAAACTTAGTAAAAAATACCTATTTCGTGGCTGAAATATCATTTGCCCCAAAGAAAGTTAATATTGTAGCCCAGAAAAAAAAGCTAGGGTTTTCGAATGCTGACCTCGAAAACTGACGCGACACAATCTTCCAATACTCAATGTACCAAACTTGGCCTCGTGCGTTACTAACCGAGTAAATACTGATGTAAACATCAATTCCTTTTGCTAGTGGGTATGGATCGCATGTGGACGCCGCACGATATATATATATATATATATATATATATATATATATATATATATATATATATATATATATATATATATATATATATATATATATATATATATATATATATATATATATATATATATATATATATATGTATATATATATATATATATATATATGTATATATATATATATATATATACATATATATATATATAATATATATATATATATATATATATATATATATATATATATATATATATATATATATATATATATATATATATATGTATATATATATATATATGTTATATATATATATATATATATATATATATATATATATATATATATATATATATCACATGCCATATACTAATGATCGATTTCGCTAAAAATGAGAGGTTTATTAATTCGTTTTTAATGTGATTTTCATTATGATACATTAAGCATACGTCGAGACAGATTAGATATTGTCAGGAGCCCATAATTTTGTTTTGGCTTTCGCGGGGCGTGTTTGCTTACAGACGCATGAATAATGCAATGAATTCTCTGAATTATTGGAACCTGCATTCCCAGTATTGTTATTTCGGATGCAACACTTTCGGCCGATACACTCTCTAACCTTCTTACGGGCTATGTTGCAGGATATTAATATTGAAGTATCTTCGAATAGAATTGTTTAAAATAAACAATTTTTCCAGAAATTTTTTTTTTTTAGAAATATGCGTGTACTTTACAAATTTACAGAGCTGGGGAAAGTTAGTAGGAAATAAATAATTGAAAATTTACAACGATTTAAAAAACGTTTAAAAGATTCCTTGAAATCTCCTCGATAGAATGTTGGAATGCACATTTTCTGAGAACTAATGATAGAATCAGCAAATATATTATTTATGTAATCCTTCCATAGTGGTAGGATGCGACAGAAAATTACTGGGAAACACTGAGATAAACTCATGTCCTTAAGAGAGCAGTCTTAAGTGAATACGAAAAAAGTGTCAGTCAGCCGAAAATTAGATCTTAAAATAACGTTATGATGTAATGGAATAGCCAAGCACCCCCATGAATGATTATACTATAGGTAGTAAGTACCTATAAAGTACCTATAAAGACAACTGTGTACGAGAGAAGACGAGGGAGAGAGTAAGAGTGATAAGTGTCGCCCCTGCATTCTGGGGTGAAACGAATGGTGATTTGGACGACGCGACAGGAGGAAGTCTTGCGAGGCAACCGTCTTTCTCATCAGGATCTGATCAGATTCTTTGAGCATCAGCTCAAAATGAAGATCAGAACTGATAGAAAACGCTTGCATTCGACAGTCTTTAACGAAAGGTGGGTGATGAGGCGAGCTTGGTTCGTGTGAACGGGGCTAACCTTGATTTTCTCTTTTAGGTCTACATATGTCACATCGGGGCGGCTTCCTGTGGAGCCCTCCCTTGGTTAGGCTAGACAAGCTGTGTACCTAGTTAATGTGAGTAAGTGTTGTTCCCGGGCTGTTTCCCGGCCACTTCTTTGGTTATGATCCAGCTTGAGATTTCCAACCACTCCAGTTTGTTTTGGCTCTCTTTTATCTCGACTTGGTCAGCTTTTTATTTCCTATGTCCGTATAATTTCTTATCCTTTTCCCACTCCCTTAGTGAGGGAGCTTCTTGATTTTGTCCAATGGGCAGAATACAGCGGCCTCTCCTTTTTGAGGGTTGGACGGGCCCTACTAACATCGTTTATGTTTAGTTTATTTTGTGTTGATTTTTAGTTTATTATTGGGTTCATCTCCTTCCCCTCTCATTCTTCATTATTAGATTTTTATGTATAATATTTATTATTAAATTTTTATGGCATGGGGTGCGTTTTGTAGCCCCCCACCCTTGAGAGGATGCGGTATTATGGTGTATGGAGGATTGAGTGGTGAAAGATGAGTTTTTATGGTGAATGTGGAAATTATAATGAGTGAATGGGTCATGAATCGGATTAGCTAGGTATAGGATAGTTAGTGCCGACCAGTCTCAACCCCTCCCCTTTTTAGGCCATGTGCCACAATTGTATAATTTTTACAATAAATACTGAGAGAGTAAGAGTGAAGACGCAAGCATGTCTGACCTTCCAATTAGTGGCACTCGCTACTAGATTGACCTGTGTGCATAACTGTACTGGATTTCATATTGTACTGGTTGTGTACAATAAACCTTTCTACTAGTATCCACCTGGTGTTACTTATTTATTCCCTTAGCACGGAACATAACAGTTCCGACGAGGATTGTCGGAACATATCACGTTAAGAACAAATACTAAAGTTTTTGTTTTTTTTCATCTTTATTGTCACGCGTGTCTTTACTCTTATTCTTAATGTGTTAAATTTAATACAGTGCCTCTGATTTTGTTATTGTTACTGATGTCTTTAATTCTGCAACTTCCAGGTCCACGTGATGTCACAAGATTACAGCAGGCACCCATTATACAGTGTCGAAGAAAATGACATCTTTGGCATTACGGAAAATACCGGAATCATGTACGTGAAAGATGATCGCGCCTTGCGTGAATTGAAAAAGGATCACGTCACGTTACAAGTAAATGTGTCAGAGAGAGACAGTAAGACACTTAAATTCATTCAACAAGTCATCATTACTCTTACCGATGGACCCTCTCTGTCGGAAAGTTGTGGTAAGAGGTTTTCTTTTTTCGCTACTTTTTAAGGACTGTGTATGTCATTGGTATATTTTATATTGGGAAATATGCGTTATATTTTAATCTGTCGTAGTTAATGCTATCTACAATTTTCTGGCAATACCATTTAAAATCTCTATCAACATATGTGAACATATTTCCATTTAGGTATTTTATAAAAGGGAAAATATCAATCATTTTATTACTTTCGTGTGTTGGCTACTTCAATAATAAATGTGTACAGTTTCTTACCAGATTATTTTACAATACATGAATTAATGGTGGTGAAAAAGGGTACATGCACAAAATAACAGACCAATTGATTTGCAATGCGAGATAACATTTATGAAACAAAATCAACAAAAGTCAAATTTACAAGAGTTTCTTTTCATAGAAGAAAATTTTATACAAAAGAAATGTTAATGAATATATTTGAGTATGACTGTGTTGGTGTGTTTTAGTGTGAAGCGTTCACAGCTCTTCTGCTGATATTAGGCTTATTAATGGCTTCTACTTCTACTATATTTATTAAGGAACAATATTGCTATCACATTTTGGACATTAAAAGTAGGCATATCCAGTTTATAAGGAAAAAAAAGAAGAAAACTGGACGAGGGGGAATTTATTGATTTATTTTTGAGTATGTTTATCAAATTGATCTTGTTTGATGAAAGGAGATTTGTGTTAGTCCGCAATGCTCCAAAAAGGTATCTTAAAACATCCAGTAAAATATATTACTAATTGTCAAATATGAGGGGAGCAGTTTGAAGATTGAACTTTCTAGGGCAAATAATCAGGAAAGAGGGCTTTGGACATTTGAAACTCAAAAGATATACTGAAGGCAAGCGGAACAGGTAAACAACGCTTAACCGACCCAATGAGCTTGTAAATGGATGGCAGAACTGCGTTTAGGAGTGATAGCAAAAAAAAGGAAAAATTCTAAGAGATATAAAGAAGAGGAAAATGTGGTGAGCCATGACTGCCAAGGTTCGGAAGAAGATGAATGGCATAAATAATAATAATAATAATGATAATAATAATGATGAGAAGAAGAAAAAAAGAAGATGAATGACACAGATAATAATAATAATAATAATAATAATAATAATAATAATAATAATAATGAGAAGAAAAAGAAGAAATAATGATGTAGACAAATGTCGCAAAGCACTGCTGGGGGCCCCCAATGAGGCTTAGTCCCTCCCGGTCGGGGTTCTAGGGTAATATGCGCCGGTTCTGGGGACAGCCAGCATTGGAAGGGAAACAATTATGAACGTCAGCTTTGCTGATGACATCGACAGCCTGGCTGGAAGTGAAGAAGAACTAGCTAACTTGTGATGTCTGGACAAAATAGCATCCAGATATGGCATGGAAATAGCATCCAGATATGGCATGGAAATCAATTGCGTGTAAACAAATCGAATGAGAAAAAAATGGAGAAAATCAGGGCACCAATCATAGTCAGTGGTCAACAACTGAATGGGAGAAGAAGAAATAGACGTTGTTAAAGAGATCCAAGAGACTGGGTGTTGTGGAGAACCATTAACGTCCAAGTCACATTAAAGAAGAATTTATACAGTATATTATATTGAAAAGTTCCATGTTAGCCTAAATTTCGAAAATTTAACCAAATAACCAAGCAAGTAGATTTTTTTTTAAATGCCGCTTTTATCGGATAGATAAATATTCTTTATACTCATATATATATATATATATATATATATATATATATATATTAAACCGTTGTTAAAAATGTCTTTAATAAATAAATTGTCGGACCTTGTCCAAACATATGACGTCATTTGTTTACATTCGATACGCCAGAGCAGTTTGAATGTACGAGATTCAGGATTTTTTTATAAACAGTAAATTCGACCTTGTTCCATTTCATTGTGGCCCAGAGGTAAGGCACGTCAGCGTAAATGACGGTTCCGTATAGGATGCATTCGAATCCTGTCAATGAACGAATATTTTCTAAAAATTTCTCGGACATTCAGGCCAGTCTGTTTATCATAAACAGAGCATTTGCTTAAATACTTGTATCTATGAAATAACAACGTTAAACATAAAAAATGTCTTTAATAAATAAATTGTCGGACCTTGTCCATTTCTTAACATATATATATATATATATATATAGACCAATATATGAGAGCGGTTTATATCAGATTTTGTAATGGTTCTATTTTTATACTGAGCATTGTGTTAAAAAAGTCATATCCATTATCACCATTTGTATTCGAATCCTGTCAAAGGACGAATATTTTCTATGAAAATTTCTCGGACATTCAGGCCGGTAAATGTTAATTAATACTGTTTATTATAAACAGAGCATTTACTTAAATACTTGTATCTATAAAAAAAAAGACGTTAAACATAAAAATGTCTTTAATAAATAAATTGTCGGACTTTGTCCATTTCTTAATATATATATATATATTAATTATAATTTATAGACTTTTCCCTACTTTAATATCTCCCCAACTCTCTTTCCATCAATCCCTTACATCCTTTTACCTTTATATTTTAAAGTTATTTTTAAACCCTTTTTATTCCTCTTTTAATTTTAAATTAATAATTCATTCTTCATATAACCGCAAATTGATGTCATAAAGTTAATATTCGGGTTTAATTTTATAAAATTTCTTCCCTTTAAAACAAATACCTTCCACCTTCCTCTGACCCCTTCTCGTGCCTTTTGTTTGACAAAAACTTTTAACTTTCACAGTTAAATCCTACTTCCCGCCCTCTCCTAACTGTATAGACACGAACTAGGTCCACATAAAACAGACGCCTAATATCTTCGTCTGCCGTAATAGGCTATTCCTCGTATGAGGTAATTTTGGATTTTATTGTTTATTAATTATATATATATATATATAAAAAACAAAGGAACAAACAGGGAGACTGACAATATCTGGTGTCTGATCACTTGATATGATTAAGGTGATTTTATTTATGGCCCCTCTTATCCTAAGAGAACTCTTGACATACAGTTTTGTCTTCTGTTCTAACCTAAAGAATCCTATGCAGCACACGTTCTCGGTGAATCGCGTTGTTTATAGATTTTCCACTTTTTCTCATTACCTTCGCATATATATATATATATATATATATATATAACGTCATCCACAGACAGACTGTTTCGCTGTTTACAGCTCATCAGTGTGGCTAGACATCCGGTTGCCTCTAGCTAGGATCGAAACCCGACTGAATTGGTGTCAGTCGGAGCTTCTAACCACTAAGCCGTCGGCGCACGGTAGGTGGATTTTTAGCATATTTATTTTTAGAAACATGCCCAGTGACTGACAGTGACTCAATTCGCTTTCGTGAAGAGTCTCGCTATATAGCTATAATAGTCACTGTTTACCAACCCACACCTCTTCCCCAGAGTGCTCAACTGAAATTAATTTCAGGAGCAGATATATATATATATATATATATATATATATATATATATATATATATATATATATATATATAGCCACACCTTCGAAATATCCGTTTTAATTTATTTGGCTTTAATCTTTCCCTTTAGATGGAATGTGTTCAAAATACAGAACAGAACAGGAATGTACTTCAAACTGCGGAGTCGGTGCTCCAACCGGAAGGTGCCAGTGGAAACGCGGGAAATATAAGGAAATGTCGGAAAACTACACCACGTGTCGACCGAACGAAGTCACGTGCCCAGACAAGAAGTGCGATGAACTTGAAATGAAACATCCATACATCTGTCTTCAAGATTGTACTAGTAAGTTATCATTTTTTATTCTTCTTATTTCCTAGTAATTTTTGCACCATAGTTGTCAGGAGATTCATTCGTCTCTCCATATTGACAGAATCGGACATATAGTCAGTTCGTAATGTGAGGCGATATTTCATGGTGAGTCATCGAGAAATTGTCTGGTTCTTTCGGCTATTAATTCAGACATAAAGACGTACATTTAAAACTCTCTATTTAGTGTAATGGGGAGGTGTTGCCTGGAATTATGAATCTCCAGATACCAAGTAATCATTGGTTTTCCGTTCTCGAATGACTGGAAACCTTTTAGTTCTTATTGATATAGATTTTATTGTAGGATATCATTAAAAGTTGAATTCAGCTTGCTAAAATTTTTACAGACCATCTGTAGAAGCAATATTCTGACGCAGTTTTTGTGTGGCATTTCTTTCACAAAATAAAGCACTGATCATGTTTGAATAATGATTCTTCTGTTTTGTGTGTGCAGTCGATTCCTTGGCGGCATTTTGGTTCAGGCATCATCGTACTTTAGTTTGTGATCCTTGTTTTGGTACACAAATTCGATATTTAAATGGATTGACTGTAAATTTACCGAAGAAAATTTATTCCCCTATTCAGCGGGAAGTAACATTTATTCACATGGAAGCTACGTTTGTGAATTTAAAACTGAATCTTATTTGAGGGTTCGTAATACGGTCGCCAAGGCATCAACTGTCTTATTCTCCCTCTTGTGAATATGACATATCTTTCCTTTTACTATGAGAAGTAATACTTTGTTTGTATTCTTTCCACTCACCAAAACACTGTCCTTATGTTCGGATACGCGTGCAGATCGAGTTCACTTTTCCAATTCAAGAATATGAGACGAAGATTATACAACGGCGTAAACAAGATTATAGAGTAGTGTATCACAAAGTGATTTTATAAACCAACTCTTTCAACGGTCATAAATCATTTGTTATTCTGGTGCAGTGGAGATGAAAATCTAAGGAAAATTTACGAAATAAAATATACAAATAACAATATTGATGTGGGGCCAAAGTTGGAACCACAGAAGTAAAACACGGAACACGGATTAGATGTAAGAAAGATATATTAACAACAGGTTACAGAGATAATGTAAGCGAAGCTTACTATATGTTAGTGTCCAATACTGGTAGTCGTACGCGGCTCTCACTGTGTCTCTATGTCACCCTCTGTCACTCTCTCTTGAGTGCTATGTCGCCTACTTAATATAGGCCTGGAAGAGTCTATTGTGTAGGTAGTTTCCGGTCTCACCATACCCACCCTCCTTCCAAAGAGTTTTCTTTTTGAAAAGGAGAGAAAAAAATAAATCTTAATACTTTTTCCTCTTGGGATTTACGTCGAGCGGTTGAGTAAATTTCCTTTTCCTTCCTGAGCGTCGCACTTCAGGAGAGACTTGGGGCATTTCGAGATCGAACTAGAGATCTTGATGCGTGAGCCACAGCTTTTCGCGAACCATCTGGCAGTTTATGTAACCTGTAAGCACCAATGCCGTACGAGCTTGCATCTCTTGCGACTATGATGTCGAGACTAGGGTCGTAATGGGTGAGGGAGAGGTCTGAAGTAAGAGTTTTCTTCTCGAATGCGTCTTGGCATTCCGGGGTCCATGACCATGGTTTGTCCTTTTTTAAAAGTTGGTTGAGAGGCCCTCTCAAATTTTGCATGTTCTTAATGAACCCTTGGTAAAAGTTAGCTAGGCCGCGGAAGCTTTGTAACGCTTGAACGTTATCTGGGGCCGGCATGTTTTTGATCGCGTTGGCTCGTATTTGATTGGACTTCTTTTTTACGTAGACCGTAGATCCTGCCCACTCGCTGAAATCTGTTTTTGACAGAATACCTGCTTGTTCGAGTCTATCTAACTCTCTGTTGATTTGTTCTAGAGCAGCGAAAGTGACATTCCGTTTCTTTTTGAATACCGGTTGTGCACCGTCCTTCACCTTGAACTTAGCTTTCATTTTAGTACATTTCCCAAAGGCCGCCAGAAAAAAAAACCTGGGGAAATTGTTGTTTGAGTTCCTTTTAGATTTACCAAATTGGACGTTGTACTTTGTATCTTGCGACAAAATGTACTTATTGGGCAATCCCAAAGATTGAATTTTTCTATCCAATCAGTTCCAAATAAGTTATCTGAAGTTTTCAATACATAAGCTTTGAGCTTTTTGGTAACTCCATTTAGTGTTACTGTAAGTATTACCTCGCCTAAAATGTTAATCTTTTCGCCAGTTACGGATTTTGCTGTTTTATCTGTTTTTAATAATGTCGGCTTGTTCAATTTTCGACAAGTACGCCAGTTAATAGTTGAAAGATCGGAACACGAGTCAAGCTGGAATTTAATGGACTTATTGAAAACATCCACAGTTACATATTTCCTTAAATTCCTATCGACAATATTGTCAGATTGAGCTTGCTTAATTTTATTTTTGGGTTTTCTCGTTCTGTTGGCGTATCAGCACGAAGTTAAAGTATGCTCACTTTTATTGCAATTTTTGCAATATTTTTTGTTCTTAACTGGACAGAATTTCATCCAATGCCATTTACCACAATGGTAACATGGTCCGGGCGGTTTCTTTAACTTATTTGGGTTTTGGTTACTGCGGAATTTAGGACATGAGATTTGCCTTTTGTCTTTTTGAGGGGAATAGGAGGTAGACTTACTTGTGATTTTATTAATCTGAGTCACACCTGACTCCTCGATAGTGTTTGTGTCACACTTTACAGATATTAGTCTTTGACAGTCCTCTGCCAGTTTTTGGAGAGTCAATCCTTGTTCGTTCTCAAGCTTGGTCAGTACCCGTCGTCTGACTTCGGCGTCTTCTGCTGATACTAGACCTTGTGCGAAAATCAAGCACTTGAAATCATCGGCAGTCAGTTCGGCTAGTTAAAATCATTACATAGCTTGTTTACAGATGCTGCAAACGTTAGAAAATCTTGCTGGTTGTTTTTGACTGTGTTCAGGCATTTCCAACGTTTGTGGAACAAGGTTGTGTTAGGCCCGAATAGTTCCGATAGGAGCTTAATAGTCTCTGAAAAATCCAAGTCAGTCGTTTTCTTGGGTAGTATGAAGTCTACGAACCTACTATGTTCTGTAGTTCCCAGTTTTTTCAATAGAAGACGTACCTTCTTTTTACTGGACCATTTTTCACAGTCTACGTTGAAAATATCTTCGTAGCGCCTGTAAAAAGCCTGGAACGTTTTGTCTTCCTCTGGTACGTATTCAAAGGTTTCCATTGAATTGTAGATTGTACTCTGGGAGAATATTGTATCATTTTCAGAGTTTGAGCCTTTTAATGCATTTACGATTCTTTAAGTTGTTTCTGTTGTAGTTCAGCATTCTGAAGCGTAGTTTTTTGGAATTCCCTTTGTTGTTTATGTAATTCCAAAAATAGTTGTTGTTGTCTTTCTTCTGATTTTTGTTGCTGATCCAAATTTAGTTTTAACATTTGGGCAACTACTTTTTGAAAATCTTCCATATTTAAAAAAGACAGCGGAGGTACACAAAAAAATCTTGATAGATTTTTGTTCTTTTTCTTTTTCTTTTACAGAAAAAAAATATGGACAGACAATAGTTAAACTAAACTAATTGTGTTTAGCTTTTTTCCCCTTGGTTCCGTTAATTTTGACGTAATTGAATAAATTTTCACCACACTTATGCCTTTTTTTATAGAGTTATAAAAAGAGAAAACTCACCTCAGTGAATTTGAGGGGAGAATAATTTTATGCTCGAGTTCAACTCAGTTACATAAAAAAAAATTCCGATAGTTTTTTTCCGAAAACTTGAGTACAATGGTAGTACTTCTGCTCTTGTATTGTCCGTTTGTTTTACGAACAACCTTTTTTCTCTGTGTGTGTGTGTGTGTAGAAATCGTTCTCGTATTGGACAGACTTTAATATTCCGTAGATGTCGAATTGTTAGTTTGTCAATGGCGTTTGGTATTGGGATATATGTAGACGCTGGGTGTTTAGCTTTTAAATCGCTAATGTATTAATACCAGCTTAATTTCACGTTCAACACTGCCGTGGGAACACGTGGAGTTTGTGTATTTTTTGAGTACTCTGTCGTTATTGATATGGGGAGAACGAAATTCTCGAATCTTTTCTGTCGCCACTGTTGTGGGACTGGCAAGGTATTGCGGTTTTTCGACGTGAATGCTGTTCTAGAATTCATCGTCGACCCAGATATGGGATTGGTAAGGTATTTAGGTTTCGCCGTGAGTGCGTTTCTAGAATCCTCGTCGCCACTTATGTGGGGCCAAAGTTGGGACCACAGAAGTAAAACACGGAACACGGATTAGATGTAAGAAAGATATATTAACAACAGGTTACAGAGATAGTGTAAGCGGAGCTTACTATATGTTAGTGTCCAATACTGGTAGTTGTACGCGGCTCTCTCTATGTCTCTATGTCACTCTCTGTCACTCTCTCTAGAGTGCTATGTCGCCTACCTAGTATAGGCCTGGAAGAGTATTGTGTAGGTAGTTTCCGGTCTCACAATAAATATGATGCGTGAAAAAGGAGGTCTGAATCCACTAATTTTCTCCGTTCCCAACCATGGATAATTTAGAGGGTCAGATTGAGCTTTTTCGCCTTGCTTGATAACCAGTCTAGGAGAAGGACATTTGAATTCAAAACGTGGAGCTACTCCACTATCTTTCCTAAGAACAATAATAGCAATGTACATTTTAAATATATATATATATATATATATATATATATATATATATATATATATATAAAAAATTTTGATGGAATTTGTTTAGAATTATATCTGCGTTTTGGGCCAGAAATTTTATTCCTTTCATATATTGTGAAACATCAGTTAAATTCGGCAGGAACTACACTTAGGTCCTTCCTCCAAAAGCAGATTGTTTTGTATATGGACGCACTCATAGATGTTTGAACAGGTCATGAAACAAGCACAATGTATGCATATATAAATCAAATATAAACCTGACCAATTTTTGTCTAAAGACTCAAGTAAAAACCCA